TTTAAAATTCTCAAATACTAGTTTTTTCTAGTATTTAGAAACTTGGGATACTTGACAAATATATTTGCCAAGTTATATGACCAAACACTGCTTTCCAAAATTTTCCCAACTATTTTTGGGGCCAAACGAATCCTAGATTTGATGAGAAATATGAAAAATATGAAAAGAATATTTTTGTTTTATATTTTGGTGTCTAATATATTTCCTTTTTTTAATAAAAAAAATTGGTCACATGAAAAGAGAAATTAGGAGGGAATTAGAAGGTAAAATTAGAAGTGCAAAAAATTAAATCAACCAACTAAATTATTAAGTTTCTCTTTAGAGTCTAAAATATAATTTTCACATGTAATTTTTAGAATTTAACAAAACTTTCCTAATATTTTGATAAAATCTTCTTTTTCACAATTTTCATCAAATTTATATAAAATTTGCTACTCAATATTTGACGAAGATCATAAATGTTTAGCTTTTAACAAACAAAGGATCAAATCTACTTCCAAATCAGCTAGAGTTATAGTAAGTATTTATTCATCTTTAATTAAATATTTCACGTTTGAGTTTTTTGATTATGGAGTCGTCTTTGTTAAAGCACACTTAACCCTCAATGTAGAACTTCTCAACACATTTAATCGGGTTTCAACACACATAATAAGAAATAAAAAAAACTACTTCCAAACATAAACTATCATTTTCTCTTTTATTCACCAAAAATCATAAGAAAACACACATTGAATTAGTTTTGGAAACAGTCTCGAACGAATTACAAGATAAAATTATGTATAATAAATTTTTATGATGAAACCTAAGGCTGGCAACGGGACCGGAACCGGGACGGACCGGAACCGGTAATTCAGGGAAAAAAATCGTGTACCCGTCCCGGACCGGTAACGGACCGGTACCGGACCGGACCGGCAACCGGGACTACTGTTACTTATAATTAAAAAAAAAAAATTATTAAAATTAAAAAATTAGGAACATTACACAAATAATATTAAAACTCTTATAATTTTATTAGAAGCAAAATTTTTTATACTTTTAAAGTTTTAAATACAAACTTTCAAACTTTAAAGTATAAAAGTTTAAATTTCACAATTTAAAACTTTGAAATTTTAAATTCAAACTTTAAAACTATAAAAGTTTGAAAATTTAAATTCAAACTTTAAAACTATAAAAGTTTGAAAATTTAAATTCAAACTTTAAAACTATAAAAGTTTGAAAATTTAAATTCAAACTTTAAAACTATAAAAGTTTGAAAATTTAAATTCAAACTTTAAAACTATAAAAGTTTGAAAATTTAAATTCAAACTTTAAAACTATAAAAGTTTGAAAATTTAAATTCAAACTTTAAAACTATAAAAGTTTGAAAATTTAAATTCAAACTTTAAAACTATAAAAGTTTGAAAATTTAAATTCAAACTTTAAAACTATAAAAGTTTGAAAATTTAAATTCAAACTTTAAAACTATAAAAGTTTGAAAATTTAAATTCAAACTTTAAAACTATAAAAGTTTGAAAATTTAAATTCAAACTTTAAAACTATAAAAGTTTGAAAATTTAAATTCAAACTTTAAAACTATAAAAGTTTGAAAATTTAAATTCAAACTTTAAAACTATAAAAGTTTGAAAATTTAAATTCAAACTTTAAAACTATAAAAGTTTGAAAATTTAAATTCAAACTTTAAAACTATAAAAGTTTGAAAATTTAAATTCAAACTTTAAAACTAT